AAAATCAACAGGTGGCAACTGTGCTTGTTTACGCCAAGATAGCTCTAAAAGAGTACGAAAAATGGGATGAAGAAACCGTTTCTGAGGTTGCAGGGTACAATGTTTGCAATGCCCTCTTGATGGGTACTGGAGTGCCAGGATTTTGCAATTTCACCTTGATGTCTTAATCAGTCTGTCTTGTCTGAGCAACTTACTTACGGCGTCTTTGTCCGAATGTGGGGCAGGAAATGGACTGCGCTCTACTGGCGCCTTCGAGTTGATGTGATCATGCATTGTGAAGGCCAAAGTTGTGCTTGACTGCCATCAGGGAGATCAACTTATCTGGCAGGTTTTGCAGGAGGTAGTTTTAGGTGGGAAGCTTGTTCTTTGTTTTTGTACGCCGTTCTAGCAATAGCAGAAGGGCGCATGCATGTACTGGAAGTGTTCAATGTGGAGTGTCGCTGGCGCAAAGCGTGCATATGGAATTGGGGGAGAGCAACCTTTTCGGGGGAACGCGCGACACAACTTTCCAGTGCAGGTGTACCAGAAACATAAGGGAATGAAGGTGGGGCGAACTCCACGACGAGACGTTGTATTTGCCTTTTTCAGGGAGTAGGTGGCGCACATTCAAGCGCATGCAGACGTACGCTGCGACGTGGCAGAAAATGCCTTAGGTCATGAGAGGCGCCGAAATTGCTTCGAAGGGACCTCAGAAGTGCGACGCACAGACACTCGGCGTCAGAGCCTCTCGTGCACATATATCTTACTGGAGATGTGAGTAAAACGCGATCATGTTTCAGCAGTATTCTTTGCTGGTTCTTGCTGGCTCAGGAGGTGCTTGTGGTGTTGGGCGCGAGCCGCTGTGCAGTAAGTCGCTGCGAGGCAACGTGACCGTGGCGAGACATCAAGATAAGCGTGGCAAGAAGCAAACAGTGCACGTGACATTGTACCGATGCTGAGTGGTTTGCAGAAAGTAGGTTCAGGCCGTTGAACGTCGATGGTGGTTCCCGCGAGCTGCAAAGTGTGCATTCAACGGCTCTTGGTGCCAAGCCCTTCAGAGCATTTTTCCTACCTCTTGAGCGAAGCGGCAGACTAGTCGCCCTCACAGAGTCTTCAACAGAAGCTGCTATCTCTTCTATTTCGTACGCACCCTGGATATCAGCAGCAGGTCGCGACCAGCATGTGTCGAAAGAGCGTCTGCCTTCGCACTATTAAGGGACACGCAAAACTCGGCGAATATCTCGGCATATGCCGCTTCTGTGCATCGCCGCGTCAATTTTCCCCTGCTCTATCGTGATGCAACTGAGGAAGAGAAGACAGTCACACGAAGACCGTGCATCGCATGGGACGTGGTAAATATGGATACGTGTTTTCCAGCAAGTGGGCGGAATATGTTGCGGACCATGGCAGTGTGGGTTGAGAGGGAGATGAAGTTGGTCGGGTCTGAGTTGCGGTAAAAGCAGTATCCTACAATCCAACGTACATCGGGCAACTGTCTCATTTTCGTTACGGTACATGCCTTCTATATATCACCCAGCTGTGCAAGCAACCTGAAGATTGTTTGGCACTCACTTTACCAGGACCAAGCAACTCTTTCAAAGTTAACAGTCAGAAAGCCAAGCTCTGGAGCTCACCAGCACTATTGCACTCTGGTCCAAAAGACGTTGAACAAGGAATATATGTGCTCAGCGCTGCAAGCCCGCAACAAATAGTCTAACAAGTGGATAAATCCCATCCAAATCCATGAGCCTATTCTTGCGTCAGCATCCAGTGTAGCCTGGAGATAAGGAGATTATGATTTTGCTGCATACTCATGTAGGACCAAGGCTTCGGTTTAGTGGATGTTTCATTCACGTGTTTGGCCATTTGATGCATACCCGCAGCTTGAAAGAATCGTGATTTTGCGTCAGTCTTTTTGGAATGACTGAAGCAGCGTGCGTCGACACTGAAAAGAAAAAGGCAAACCTCCTGCCAAGCAAGTGCCAAAATTTACCATATTAGTTGGACGGCCGCATACTTCACGTTGTGTGTCTGTAGCGAGAGAGATATATGTTGAATAGGTTGGTATGAAACATAGCATTATGTGATGTTTCATTTTACATGTCATGAGGCGTTTTACGTGACCCTCTGGCTGGCGAGCCAGTCTTGCCGAAATCGAGTTCTTAGGACGACAGCGATGACGCCAGTTGGTTGGGCCATTGCACAGACGGGAAGAGAATACGACATTCGCATGCCTAGTGTCCAGACACATGGAAGCTCCTGCTTAACGATATTTCTAGCTTCAGAACCTTGTATGCTTTCCTGTGAACCAAACTTCTTAGGTATGCGGGCGTCAGCGAAACGCTTGCGTTATGCTTTAGAGTGCTGAGGAGAGCGCGCGAAAAAGCAAGCAACGCGGTCGCGTTGAGGATTTAATTTGCAGTTGCTGCGGTGTGCGCAGACTCCTTAAAAAGCTTCAGTGAGAACGCATCAGCCAGATGGCAATGCGGAGTTGGTTTCCCTGAATCTTGCTTGTGCATCTTGAGAGTTGCCAATCGGCAATTTGCCAATCTTTTGCAAGCGTGCAGCTGTTGTGCTCCTGAAGGAGTCGTTCTAAAAATGGCGGTACTGTAGAGGCCCACTGTCTTGCTTCATTTAATTGGTGCCTGCTACACGAGAGCGGCTGTTTCCAGCTCTGGGAATGACGCAGAATCATAACAGCGCTTCGACTGCCACATAGCTCGCGTAAATGAGGCTTTACAGAGAGGCAACAACAGCTGCGGCTTCTGCGTTTGTGAAGTGCTGTTTGGCATTTGTACCCAACAGCACATTGTTGTCAGCTCACCAAGTGTTTATTTTCCACTTCTTTGTGAATCAAAGCAAAGTGCCGATACGTGGGCAGGTGCATAAATACTGTTTCTTTTCGCGCAAGAGACTGCGCCGAGCTGCAAGCAACGCATGCAAGTTGCAGACAAGGTGTGCAAGTCTTTCTGACAATTCGATGTTGTGAGCAGAGCGTATGCAAGCCCTCAGAAGCGAAGAGCTGATGTTGCGAATAAAAGGAAGAAGAGGAAAGAATTCGTCGGTAGTGGCGAATCGTGTAGTACAGCAGGTTTGAAGCTAGCGAGGCTTCTAGTAGTTTATTGGAAATCCATTGTATATTGTTATTGTTTTTCAATATATTCTAAAGCTTTTAATGCTGATCCTTTTATAACAGAAGTAGAATCTCCTGCTTTTTAGTGCGCCACTATGAAAAGTGTGCGATGGTGGATGAACACCTGTCTTTACGCTTCATATGGTGGCGGGAATGTATGGGGTAGCGAGCTGGTTTGCGCTCTGTTAGCGCCACAGAGTCGCAAGAGCCCTTGGATCATATTGGAGGGCATGCTCTATCGAAGAACGAGCTGCGTCCTAGTTCGCGAAAAAATTAACGTCCTACTGCCGTTTACATCTTGGTTGTAGGTTGCTTGCTGTAAGCGAGTATCTGGCGAGCCAAACGTTTGCGAGGCAAAGTCATGAGACGGGAACGACTTCTGTGATACGGGCATTGCAAATATATGACGAGGCCGATTCGTCACGTCCAAACAGCACGTTACGTTTTTCTGCATTGTCCGGTCTTCGCCTGGGAAATTTGTATATTATTATTTATTTTTATTTTGCAAACAGAACATAGGCTCTTGGGAGTGGGAAAGCTGTTTGGATGGCGCTTCAGGTGGTGCATGATACAGGTCCAAGCAGTTCCTTGACTGACAAGCAGCGCACAGCAGAGCATGGCGTGCCGACTATCTTTTATGGAAAGGCATTTTGTGGAAATTTATGGAACTTTTACTTAGCTATTCATGAACTTGTCGCAAACTTTCGACATGAGGAGTTTTGTGCTTTTGAGCCAGCTGCTGGAAAAAGACTGAGATGACAGATGTGTTAAACCCTATTGAAACATCTAGACAGCTGATTAGAAAAAGCGGTTTAGGGTGTAGGATTTAGAGTTTATGGAATTTAGGAAGGGTAAAACTGAGATGCTGCAGAGCCTAAAACGATAACAGAAGAAAAGCAGAAAACGGAACTCCTGCTGCTGCCAAAATGGATGCTGCTGCTGCTGCTGCTTTTGCAGTAGCTACTGCTGCTGCTACTGCAGTAGCTACTGCTGCTGCTACTGCAGTAGCTACTGCTGCTGCTACTGCAGTAGCTACTGCTGCTGCTGCTGCTGCATTGGTTGCTGCTACAAAAGTGGCTAGTGTTGCTGCTGCCGCTTCTGCAGTGGCTGCTGATGCTGCTGATTCTGAAGTGGCTTCTGCTTGTCCTAGTTTTGCTCTTGCTGCAAAAGCTGCTGCTGCTGCTGAACTGTGGCGAAGTGCAGAAGAACAGCAGCAGCAGAACAGAAATTAGGAATGGTAAATTTAGTAATCAATTTAACAGTGAAAATATTAATGATGAACTCATTTTTTGTTAGAAGCACCAAAAAGGAATCCAGAGGGCCGAGGCAATCTGCTGCTGCTGCTGGCGCTGCTTCTGCTAGTGGTGGCAGAAGCAGCAGCAGCTACTGCCGCTTTCCCGGCCGCCGCAACTGCCCTAGCTACACCAAAATTCACTGCACCAACAATCATTGCAGCACGAGATGTGGCAGCAGGAGCAGCCGCAGGAATTATTGTAGAAGCAGCCACTACAGCAGCAAAAATAACAGCAGCAGCAGCAATTAGGTGTGGAGTGCTTCCAGCAGCCGCTGGAAGGCCTTAGAGGGAGCCAGGCGGACGAATTTCGCCGCAGTTTTCTGTGGGGTCAGCAGCGGCATTTCGTTTACATTTTTAGTTTCAAAAACTAATTCTATTTCCCTTTTTTGCCTCTCATGATCCCCTGCAAAGCCGCAGCAGCAGCAGCAGAAGCAGCGGTCCGTGCCGCTGCTGCTGTTGTTGCGGTGGCTGTAGCCGCTGCTGTGGCTGCTTGTGCAGGGGCTGCTGCTGCTCCTGCTGCTGTGGGAGTGGCTGTTTTTGCTGCTGCTGTGGCAGTGGTTTCTACTGCTGCAGTGGCAGTGGCTGCCACTGCTGCTATTTTTCTGGCAGCAGTTGCTGCTGGTTCCGCGGCAGCCGCCGATTTTGTTGTTGTTGTTGTTGCTGCTGCTGCGGGGCCCAGATGAGGAAACCAAGCGGCTGTGACTGCAGCAGCAGCAGCGAGCAGCAGCTATGGCGGGAATTTCGCTGGAGAGAAGCTGCAGCAGCAGCAGCAGCAGCAGCAAAAGACAGCAGCAACAAGTGAAAGTAAGAGCAGTTCAAAACTAGGAACGGCAAAGACTCAAAAAGCAAACAAATAAAACCAAAAAAGGACAAAACTATAAAAAGGATACAAAAAATAATCCCAAACTGATTCTTATATATCCTTCAGGCGTGCGTGAGAAGCACAGGGTCGAAGAGTTACACTGCACTGCAGCAGCAGCAGCACCAGCTGGAAAAGCAGCAGCAGCAGCAGAAGTAGCAGAAGAAACGGCTGGAGAAGCAGCAGCAGCAGGAGAAGCACAAGCAATAGACACAGCTTGAGCAAGAGCAACAAGTGCAGCAACAGGACCAGCAGGAGCAGCAGCAGCTACAACAACAACAGTAGCAGCAGCAGCTAGAACAACAGCACGACAAACACCAGCAGCAGCAACAGCAGCAACAGCCACAGGAGGCAGCGTGAAGAGGCCGAGCATCACGGCAAAAGCAAAACAAACAAATGGAATAGCAGCAAAGGGCGAACTCCCTCTCTCTTGGTGCTGCTGCTTTTGCTGCTGCTGCTGCTGCTGCTGCTGCTTTTGCTGCTGCTGCTGCTTTTGCTGCTTGTGCTGGTGTTGCTTCTGTTGCGGTTGCTGCTGTTGCACTCACTTTGATGAGTTGCTTCCTGTCATAATAAAGCGGATTGATTAAACCAGCAACATCTCTTACGAATTGAACTAAACCCTTAAATCCTGCTTCTGTGGGGGGTCCCCCCAAGAGGGGCCCCTCTAGGGGGCCCCCCAGGGGGCCTCCCCCTATTGAGACAGGGGCTACTTTTGTGACCCAGACTTTGCCTTTAGCATCTGGAAGCAGCGAGAAGCGCAGTAGCAGGAACCCCTGCTGCTGCTGCTGCTGGCGCTGCTGTTGCTGCTGCTGGAGGCAAAAGAGAACCTTCAAAATCGAATCGCAGCTGTTGGCCCACAAAAGGTCAAATAACTGCGGGGAGGCCCCTGTCTTTTCTGCTGCTAGAGCAGCGCGCAGTTCTGAGAAGGACAAATATGTTGCTGCTGCTTCTTCTGCTGCTACTGGTGCTTCATTCGCAGCAGCAGCAACGTCAGGGGAGGACCCTTGCTGCTGCTGCTGCTGCTGTTGCTGTTGATACTCTTGCTGTTGCTTCTGCTGCTGCTGCAGTGTTCCGTCTAAGTACGCCTGCCCTGATGCTTTCACCACAGGCACTGCTGCAGCAGCAGCAGTAGCTCCAGCAGCAGCAACTGCTGCTGGTGCGGCTTCCGCTGCAGCTGCACTGGAACAACTAGCGGCGGCATCACCAGCAGCAGGAGCAGCAGAAAATTCCTGGGTTTCCCAGTTTGCTGCTGAAAGGCAATCCGTCAGATGCACAAATTTGTTGCTGATGGAATTCGGGTCAGAAGTGTAAGCTAGCCGAGCCACGCGAACCCTCCCCTGCAGCAGCAACAGTAGCAGCAGGGGAACGCAAAGAGGTAGCACACCCGACATCAGAAAATGGCAGCAGAAATAGCACCAGAAAAGGGGGACCAAAGAGCAGCGGGATAAGCTGGAACAGCCACGCCAGCCGCATCTGCAGCCGCATGTGGAGTAGTAGCAGCAACAGCAGCAGCAGCAGCAGCAACACGACTATTGGCTTAAGCAATAGCAGCAGAAGAAGCAACGAGACAGCCGCCGCTTGCAGCGAATCCCTTGTTGCTCCTTCTGCCGAGAAAACACAGCATCACGAGCAAAGGCGTCAGAAGCATCAGCATTATCAGCAGCAGCCGCAGTAGGAGCAGTGGCAGCTCAGCAGTAATAACGGCAGCAGCAGCAGCAGGAAGGGACCTCCTTGTAAAGGAAGGCCTGGAGGGGAGCGAAGGAAAGAACCGCGACAAAACAAAGAAAGTCGAACTTTCTCTGCTGCAGCAGCAGCGGCGCTGCTACGTATTGCTGCAGCAAAGCTCCCCCATAAAGTTCAGCAGCAAATGGCTGCAGCAGCAGCCGCGGGGGCCCCAGCAGGGATGCCCCGGAGAGCTTCCCTAAGCAACAAAAGGTGGCAAATAAAAAAAACAAATAAATATTAATTTACATATGTTAGCTATTAATAATTTGCTTTTTAGGAGGAATGGCGAAAAAATGGGAAAAATAAAAATCGCCAAAAGATGAATTCGTAGTGAGCAAACCAGCAGTTTCTTTTTCTTGTTTTGTTTATTTGTTAGTAATCACTTATTTATTTATATCTGCATCATTGTTTGTTTCACTTCTCTTCCTGCAAATCCAAATGGACTTCTTGCTGCCGTGAAATTCCCTCGAAGAAAATTCGAGAAGCTCCAAAGGGTCACAAGGCAAAGAAAAAGTCACAGGCATTACCCTAAAGGCAACAGCAGCAGCAGCAGCAAGCGAAGCAGTAAACATCAGCAGCAGCAGTAGTAGTAGCAGTAGCAGCACCGGCATTAGCAGGAGAAGCTCCAAAGGGTCACAGGGCAAAGCCAAAGTCACAAGAATCCCCCTTAAGGCATTGGCAGAAGCAGCAGCAGCAGAAACAGCAGCAGCAGAAACAGCAGTAACGGCAGTAGTAGTAGTAGCAGTATCAGCAGCATCAGTTGCAGCAGAAGCTCCAAAGGGTCATAAGGCAAAGTCAAAGTCCCAGGCGTTACTCTATAGGCAGCGGCGGCAACAACAGCAACAATAACAGCAGCACCAATAGCAGCAGCAGCGAAAGGGACAGCAACAGTAGCGGCAGCAGCAATAACAATAGCAACAACAGCAGCAGCAGCAATAAGAGCAGAGTCAGAAACAGTAGCGGCAGCTCTACAGGGTCGCAGGGCGCCGAAGAAGTCACAGGCATCACAATAAACGCAGCAGCAGCAGTGGCAACGGCAGTGATAGCAGCAGCAGCAAGGGAAAAAAGAGTAGCAGCAGCAATAAGGGCAGCACAAACAACAGCCACGCAAAAGCATCAACAGCTGCAGCGATGGACGCAGCAGGAGCAGTGGCAGTGCAAGCATCAGTAGCAGCAGAAGTGGTAGCACCTGCGGCAGCAGCAGCATCAGCAGCAAGAGCAGCAGCAACCAAAACACCTGCAATGGCAGCAGCAGCAACATCAACAGCAGCAGCAGCAGCAGCAGCAGCAGCAGCAGCAAGCTAACCTGAAGGCCTCCCCTGAAGTTCCTTGCCTCTGACTTAGTCTCAAAAGAGACTTATAGAGAGTTGCTGCTTCTAAAATGTTTCCCAAACTGTACATACAGCTTACCCGCTGCAGCCGAAAACCCAGGCTGCCGGGTGGTTCCCAGGGGGCCCCGAGGGGGCCCCCCTGGGCCGCCGTGGGTGCCCCTGGGGTCCCCCTCGAGCCGCCGGAATGGCCTCCAAGAGAACGCCTTGAAGAGCTTCTGTAAGGGCTCCCCAAGACCCCTGCTGCAACCTTACTGCTGATGATGCTGCTGCGGTGCAGCGAAACTGAGGGGCCCCTTGAGGGAGGCAGGGCAGCAGCAGGGGCCCTAGGAGACACCCAAATTAAATTTGCTGTTGCAACCGCAGCAGGAGAAAATACCTGGCGCCACTGCCCTGTAGGCAGCAAGGCCCTGAAGTCAGCGCGAGCAACGGGAACAACAGCAGCAACAGGAGCAGCAGCAGCAGCAGCAGCAGCAGCAGAAGCAGCGGCAGCTGTGGTGTTGTGCTTAGGTGGGGTGAATAAAGGAGAAGAAAAGCGGACAAACGAAAGGGGACAACAAAAAGGCAAAAATGAAAGGAAAAGAAGCAAGAGAGAGGCAGAAAAGACAGAAAAGAGGAAAAAGAAACAAAAAAAATCAAAAGGAATAAAGAAATCAAATACAGGAAAGATGCAAAAGGAAGGGGAGAAATTGCGCTGACTCTCTCACGACAACTTCTTCCTCCTTGCTGCAGCCAACAACAGCAAACGTCCTTTTGCTGCTGCTGCTACTGCTGCTGCTGCTGCATTGCTGCAGCAAAAGAGGGTCCTGGGCCTCTTCCTTTTCGGCTGCTTTGAGGGCTAGCAGCAGCGAGCGCAGCAGCAGCAGCGACTTAGAGTGTACGTGCACCCCAACGAAGTGCAGCACAGAAGGAAAGGAGACAGATAAATCAAAAGCGTCATTTTCGCAGCTGTCCCAAAGCGACAGTTCCTCGTCTTGGTCCACCCCTCGCTGCTGCTGTTGCTGCTGCTGCTGCTGTCCTGTGAGGCTTCTCAGGACGCCTTCGGACGTGTACACTGTCGGCAAAAAAAGAGCAAGGCTACTTCTGTTATTCAATTTGCTGCTGCTGTCGCTGTTGCTGTCGCTGCTGCTGCTGCTGCTGTTGCTGCTGCTACTATTGCTGCTGTTGCTGCTGTGCGGTAAAGGAGGAGAGGCCCAATGGCAGAAATCAGGGGGGTCTCCCTGCTGCTGAATAGGGACATTTGTTGCAGTATCAGCTGTAGCAGCAATAGCAGGAATGGCATTTTCAGGTTGCTGCAGCGTGTGTTGCTGGCTCTCCTGTTGCTGCTCCTGTTGCTGGTTGTGTTTACTCTCCTGTTGGTGTTGCTGCTGTTGCTGCTGTTGCTGTTGTTGCTGCTGTTTATCTTTGCTACTTGACGAAGGCATGCATTCGATGGGACGTGCTGCTACAGCTGTTGGGAAGCCAGGAGCTGCTGATGCTGCTGATGCTGTTTCTGCTGCTGCTGTTTCTGCTGCGTCTGCCTTTGTTTCTGCTGCTGCCGCCGCAGCTGATGCCGTTCGTCGCGCTGTTGCGGCCTGTGTATGAGCATCTATTGGGTGCGTCTCTTCTGCAGCTCCAAGGGACGCTGCTGCTGCTGTTGTTGTTACTGTTGCTGATGTTGTTATTGTTGTGGTTGATGCTATTTCTGCATGTACCACTTCCACAACTGAGGTAGGACATTCAGCAGCAGTAGCACCAGCAGGAGCAGCAGCAGCAGCAGGAGCACTATCACCCACTTCCTGCAGTGCGCCGTCCTCCTGTGTGCCTTCTGCCGCTGCAGCTGCTGCGGCTGTTGCAGTTGCCACTGTACCTGCTGCAAAGGGGCTTCTACGGAGGCTGCTCAGCAGCAGCTCAGCAGCAGCTGCACCTGCTGTGGAAGGCCTCTTTTGCCGTTGCCTTCTGCTCTGCCTTTGCTGCCGTTTGGCTGTGCGGTACTCAGCAGCAGCAGCAGCAGCAGCAACAGGAGTATCGGGGGCAGCAGTTGCAGCAGCAGCAGCAGCAACCATTGAAGCTGCTGCAGCTGCTGCTATCGCTGGGGTCCCGGGGGGCAGATCGAAGGGGCCTGCAAGGGCCTCCTGATTCGCCTGTGGCAATGGAGGGACAACCTGCAGCAGCAGATGCTGCTGCTGCATTTGCTGTTCCTGCTGCTGCGGCTGCTGCTGCTGCTGCTGCTGCAGTTGCTGCTCTTGTCGCTGTTTCTGCTTTTTTTCCCCTTCTTCAATGAGCGCTCCGGTCGAATCTGCTGCAGTTGCTGCTGTCGTTGCTGCTTCGGCCTCTGCCTCTGCTGCTGCTGCTGTTGCTGCTGTTGTGTCTGCTGCTGCAGCCTGCTGCTGTGCCGCTAAGCCCATTTCGTGCAGCAGTCTGTATACCTTCGCGATGGAGTGTCTCTCGCCGTCAGCATCCATGTATTCTTCAACAGCAGCAGCAGCAGCAGCAGCGGCCTCAGCCTCAGCCGCCTCAGCAGCAGCAGCAGCCGCTGCTGCTGCTGCTGCTGCCGCTGGAGGGGAAGAAAGACCTAAGCAAAAGCTTTGGGGGGCCCTGTGGGGGATCCGCGGGACCCTGCAGTCGCTGAGTGCCCTGCGAGGGCTCCTCGCTAGTCTTCGTGTCCCGTGCCTCCTTGATGCTGCTGCTGTTGCTGCTGCTGCAGCATACGGATCTGCTGCTGCTGCTGCTGCTGTGGGGCCTGCTGCAGCAGCAACTGGAAGCGGCAGGTCTATGTCGAGGCCCCTCACCGCCTCCTCTATACTGCTGATGAGAGACTTTGCGCAGGACCGAATGGAGGCGTGGGCCGAGCGGCTGCTTTTGGGTCGCCCGCTGCTTGCTGCTGCTGCTGCTGCTGCTGGAATTGCTGCTGCTACTGGGGTTGCTATTGCTGCAGAGGCGTCCCCGGCTGCTGGTGCTGCTGAGGAAGCAGCGCTAGAGCACCTCCCCAGAGACTTCAGGCGGGGCAGCTGCCTCGCTGAGTCGGCGGAAAGGGAAGGCAGCAGCAGCAGCTGCTGTTGTTGCTGCTGTCGGCATTTCGTCTGCTGGTTCTTCCCAAGAGGCTGCATCTGCTTGGAATTGGCTCGTTGCTGCTCCTGCTCCTGCTGGTCCTGTAACCGCTGCTGCTGCAGCCGCTGCTGCTGCGGCTGCGCGCGGGGCCCTAAACCAGAGGGCATCCCCAAGTTTTCCCCACTAGTGCTGCAAGTGCTGCGTGGTTGATGATATAGGTTGCTACTCCTAGTAGGGGAAGGATGTCGCATTGTGCTAGGAGGGGCCCCTTTGCTACTACTAGGGGTCCCCTTGCACTTTCGGGCTGCCTCACTGCTGCTGCTGCTGCTGCTGCTGTTTAGCGCACCCCTGTAGCTGCTAGGGGATGCCTGGTTGTATAGGCCCCCCCTGCTGCTCGAGGCTCCGCTGCTGCTGCTGCTGCTGCTGCTGTTGCTGCTGCTAGGGATCCTACAGCCAGGTGGTGACAAAGTGGGCGATACTGGAGACGCTGAGCAGCAGGCACAAAGCTGACTACGGCTTACAGTTTATATTTTAGGTTTAGGGTTCAAAACACGAAAAGCTAATGCTGAGGAGACACATGTCGGTTTAAAGACACTCAAAGGAGACAGACAGACAGATCAGTGCGCAGAGATAAAATCTCCCAAGCCCTAAACCCTGAATCCTAATTCCTACCCGTCTCTGTGGAGTCTGCTGCAGAAGAGCGCCACGCCGAAAACTCGGTGGCCCTTGAAAGGCCATCAATTGTAGCAGCTGTTGCATATGCAAACCCTCAACCCTAAACCCCAAGCCCTAAACCCTAAACCGTAAGCCCTATGCCCTATGCACTAGGCAGCAAACTTTGGAAGGCTAGAGCCCCAGAGCTCAAACCCCAGAGCCAACTTACACTTCTCCCGCCCCCCTAAACTCATTTCTTTGAAGCTAAACCATAAACGCCGAACCCTGAACCCCAAATTCTAAACCCTAGGCCCTAGGCCAACCTCGTCTCAGGCTGCCAAAAAGCGCAGAAGGGGAACTGCTGCTCGCTTTGTCGTTGAAATGGGAACAGGGGCAGCAGCAAGGAAGAAAGGGGCCAAAGAATCCAGTGTCCCCGCTGCCTCCCCTGCACCTGCTGCTGCTGCTGCTGCTGGCGTGGGAGGTAAGGGAAGGTCGCATGCTGTTCCTGCGCTTTGCGCTGCCTCTGCGGTTGTTTCGGTCCCCGCGGGTGCGCTGCTGCTGCCTCTGCTGACGCTGCTGTCGCTGCTGCTGCTGCTGCCGCTGCTGGCGCTGCTCGTGCTCCTGCTCCCTCTTGTGGCGGCCAATCAGCAACGGCCGCAGCAGCTGCTGCTCCTTGCTCAGCATCTGCTGGTGCTTACGGGAAGCTGGGGGACTCCCAACTCGCCGAGGCAAGCGAGGGACCTTCTTCCCCTGCAGCAGCAACAGCAGCAGCAGCAGAGCAGATTCCTGAATGCCTTCTTTGCTGCATCAGGTCACAGCCGCGCTGCCTTTGCCTTGCAAAATAGTTGCAAGGGGCGCGCATCAGGAACTAGGGTTTTGAACTGGTCTAGGGTTTAGGGTCTAGGGTTAAAGGCCTAGGGTTTAGCATTTAGCGTCTAGGGTTTAGGGCTTTTTTACCTGCCTTGAGGAGCTCTTGTTGGCTGCTTCACTTGTGCTGAAAAATGCGTCCAGAGGCTCACTAGGGTAATGGATTTCGGGATACGGTGCAGCAGGAGGCTGCACATTGCTGCTGCTGCTGCTGCTGCTGCTCGTACAAGGGCTGCTGCTGCTGCCACCACTGTTGCTGCTGCTTCCACCGCTGTTACTGTAGCTGCTGTTACCGTTACTGTTCGTTTTGCTGTTGCTGCCGCTGTTGCTGTTGTTGTTGATGACATTGCCGTCGCCGTTGCTTCTGCTGCTGCTGCTGGCCGCCAGCTTGTCCACAGCCTCAAGCAGGGAATCAGATTGCTGTCTGTCTCTCAACTCAAGCAGCACAAGATTCAGTAGCAACAGCCGCTGTTGGTGCTGCTGCTGAGGACCCTGCTGTGTCGGTTGGGCGCTCTGAAGGTCGCGGCATAATTTTACCAACTCTTCTGTCTCTGCAGCAGCAACAGCAATCGCAGCAGCAGCGGCAGAATGCCTATTTGTGAAGCAGCATCTGTCTAAAATTGTTTTTGCTGCTGTTGTCTTCGCTCTTGCGGCTGCAGAGGCAGCAGCAGCGGTTGCCTTGGTTAGTCTCCATTATGATGTTTTACGGTGTGCTGTGTCTTGCCGCTTCTCCTACTGCTGCTATTTCTGCCTTACCCATGTCGTACACACTTGAGGGAGGCGGCAGCTGCACTGGCTCTGCTGGGACCGTTGGTTCAGCAGCAGCAGCAGCCGGCTGACAGGCAGCAGCAGCTCCTGCTGCTGCTGCTGAAGCAGAACATGCTGCTGTTGCTGCTGCTGCGTCACACATCTCTACTTCGTCCTTGAGCAGCAGCAAACTGCTGCCTCTTCTGCTTCTCAAGGAGTGCCGCCCTTGGCTGCTGCCGCGAGTTCCTTATGGTACATTTAATTCAATAGCATTATATTTGATCATTCATCTATACTTTGTACAAATCCATTCACTTTATTTAGTTCTGCCTTCGAAGGGCCCCTGCGCCAAGGCGAACTGCAAGTGGAGTTTTGTTGCTGCTCTCGCTCTCGCAGCCAGACGCTAAACCCTAAGCTCTTGGCCCTAAACACTAAGTCCTAAATCCGAAAACGTCCTCAGCAGCAGCAAACTGCCTGTGTCCTTCAGTAAGGCTGTAGCCTGTCTGCGGCTCCAGGAGGAGAGTGTGTTTCTGAGGTCACCTTAAATGCTAAAGCCTGAACCCTAGACCCTAAACCCTGGGAGAGAGCGACCCTTAAGCGCCCTCTTCGCCAAAGCAGTGCAGTTCTCTGTTAATCTAGGGGACAGAGGGCCCAGGGTTTAGGTTTAAGGGTTTAGGGTTTAGCGTTTTCGTGTTTGGGGCTGGAGCCCCGTGTTCTGCTATGGGTGACTCGAGAGCTTCTGACGCGGCAAGAGACAGTCACATTGTTGAAGGGATAAGCCCTAAAGCCTGATCCCTAAACCCTAAGCCTTAAACCCTGATCCTCAACCCCTGGTCCCCATTTCTGGAGGTCGGCCGGTGCAGCGAGCGCAGGGCAGGAATGGCTGAAGCCCTAAACCGTGAGCGACAAGCCGTAAACCCTGAACCCTAAACGTTCTAAAACAAGCCAGCGTATCGCTAACGCGTCCACCTTCTACGGTTACTCGACTTGTAGATAAGCTTCAGTTTGGAATGAGCAGCAGCTGCTGTGGCTGCTGCTGCTGCTGCTGCTGCTGCTGCTGCTGCCTCTGCTCGTATGAGATTCGTGGTTTGCTGCGGCCAAATCTCGGCAAGAGTTGCCCCCACAGTGTAGCTGCACGGTTTGTAGCTAAACTCATAAACGTAACCACTGGTGCTGCTGCTGCTGATGCCGTTGTTGCTGCTGACTGCTGCTGCTGCAGCAGTCAGCAGCAGTGTCGGCAGCGGTCGGCCGCAGGCTCAAGCTGCTGCAGTGTCTGCAGAATTCCCCCTTAAATAAGGCCGTTTGCCTTGTGCAAATGAATAATAAGCATTTAAAATCTTTACTCTGATTTAATTTATTTTTAATTTTCACACTTTATTGCTGAAATCGCAGCACCGCAGTAGGCGGGGGGCCCTAGGAGCCGTGCGTCGCGGCTGTGCTGCGTGGCTGGGGAGGAAGGGTTTTGCTGCATTCGTTTTGACCATTTCTTGTCCTTTTGAACTTCTTCTTGTCTCCTATTTGCTTTTTTAACTCTTTTTTCGTTTTTCAGCAGAGAGGCGCTCTCAGCGGCGCGTCCAAGCCCTCCCTGCTGTTCCCCTGTCTCGGGTGTCTGCGTAGACCGCAGGGCCCCTCTTGAGGTGCTGCTGCTGCTGCGAATTCGCTGCGGCGGGGATGGCTATAGGGTGCTGCAGAGTCATTTAGGGATCATTGTCAGCAGCAGCAGCAGCAACCGCAGCAGCAGCGGCAGCAGCTCTAGCTCAAGTGCCCAGCCAGCGGCAGCGCCTGCCGTCGAACCAGCACCAGCGGCAGCAGCAGCGGCAAACAGTGCGCCAGCAGCAGCCGCGGAAGTCAGCGAAGTCCCCTAAGAGCCCGCTGCCCAGGGGGCCCCCTCAGGGGCCAAATTAATACTGAGACGCCATGTCTCTGCTGCATCGGCCCCCGGGGAGCCCCCCGACGCGCAGCAGCAGCAGCAAGCACAGCAGCAGCGGGAGCACTCGGCGCTGCAACCACAGAAGCAGACGCAGCAGCAGCAGCAGTAGCAGACGTAGCTGCTGCACAACAGACCTCATGAGCCTCTGCCTCCCTGTAGAGACCCACCACTGCAGCAGGGCCCTTTGCTGCACTTGGCCGCAGCTTCCTGGGGGGCACCAGGGACCCTCTTCGGGTCCCCACTTCGCGCGATTCACAATCCCCTGCAGCAGCAGCAGCGGTAGCAAGTGCTGCTGCGGCAGCAGCCTCATCACTGCGTCTGCGTGCGACGTGGAGAGAAGATACACGTTTCCTGGGGCTTTCGGCAGCAGCAGCAGCGCAGCAGTAGCAGAATCAGCGGCAGCAGCAGTACGTGATGTGGAGTTTGGAGTTTGCTGCTCCTGCTGCTGCCATGGGAGCAAGGCCACTCCTGGGCAGGTGATTTGCTGCCCTTGCAGCAGCTGCAGCTTCCGCAACAGAGCCACAGCAGCAACAGCGGCAAATAGCAGCAGCAACTGCAGCAACAGGATCTCTACTGTCAGCACACCAGCCCACAGCAGCAACAGCAGCAGCAGCACGCCTCGCAGCTCTTATACCCCCCACGAGAGAGATGAGGCCTCTGTTCAGCAGCAGCAGCAGCAACAACAGCTGCAGCAGCTGCACGGGGTGCAGCTGCTACGTGAGCAGCAGGAGCAGCAGCAGCAGGCTGTCCAAGAGCAGATGCAGAAGCGGAAGGAGCGACTTCAGGAGGAACGCGAGCAGCAGCAGCAACAGCAACGCCATGAGCAGCAGCATCAGCACCAGCAGGGTCCAGAGGAGCAGCAGCAATTGCAGCAGCAGCAGCATCACGTGCAGGCGCAGGTGAATAGATACGAAGAAGCAGAAAAAAGTGTGTGCGCAGCAGCAGCAGAAGCAGCGGAAGGCTCACATTGCCAGCAGCAGCAGCAGAGGCAACAGAAAGGAGCTGGTACGGCAACTGTCTCGTACAGAGAGCAGAGTCCCCCATGCGGCGAAGCACCCACGCAGGAGCTGCAGCAGCAAGAGGAGCAGCAGCAGCAGCAACGGCAGCAGGAGCAGGAGCAGCAGCAGGAGAAAGCTGAGGTAAATAGATCAACTGTGGAGCAAGTAGACACAGCAGCAGCAGCAGCAGCAGCAACAGCAGAGTCAGCGAATGAGGCAGCGGAAGCTAAGCCGATAGCGTGGATTGGAGGAGTATCTAGAACAGCAGAGGATGGGGCAGAAGTAACGGCAGCATCAGGTGCTGCTGCTGCTGCTGTTGCTGCATCAGCATCCAGCAGCTCCCCGCAGCCAAGCTTGGGCCCTTCTATAGGTCTGGTGTCTCCTTACAGCAGCAGAGACAACACCCCTGTCTCTCTTTTTTCTGGTGCTGCCGATGGAGACTGCCGCACCGCTGCTGCTACCCCAGAGGTGGGGCTGCAGCAGCTGGCAGCAGCGGCAGCAGCAGCAGCTGCCGCTGCTGCTGCTCCGGCCGAGCAGATGCAGCGAAATCCGGGGGCTTGCGACGTCCAGAAGCAGCAGACCTTTGCGGCTGCCCAAAGAAGTGACACCCTGCAACAGCAGCAGCAGCAGCAGCATTGTAACTACAAGCAACAGCAAAAGGAGCCTGCTAGCGAACCTATCTCGTTGTCCCACCTGTGCGAAGAAGCAGCAGCAGCATCATTCTCAGCAGCAGAGGAGCAGCAGCTGCTGCTGCAGTTCGAGAAGGCAATAGGCTGCCATACTGCTACTGGCCGCTCTGCAGCAACACCAGCAGCAGCAGCAGCAAAAGCAGCACGAACTGCAGCAGCAAATGAAGCAGCCATCCCTGATGCCCAGAGAGAGCTTCACCTGCAGCAGGGGCCTGCTGCCTGTTCTTTAAGCGCTCCAGCAGCAGCAGAAGCAACAGCAGCAGCTGCTGCGACTGCTGCTGCTGCTGCTGCTAGCCGCTCCTTTACTGCGCAGAGGCATTTGCTGCAGAAGATGAGGGAGGGTCTCTCTGCACTGCGGCAGCAACAACTGCAGCAGCTAGTTGAAGAGGAGGAGCAGTTGCTCCTTTTGGAGAAGCAAAAACAGGCGATCCTGGCAGAACTGGGCGGCGAGTTCGGCCGCAGCAGCAGCAGCAGCAGCACGGTGTTGCAGGTGGAACCCCCCGGAAGTCGCGGGGGAGCATCTGATGACCTTCAGCTTATCTTAGGGTGAGTAAACCCTTAACCCTAACCTCTGATTGCTGCCAAGGAATCTGTAAATTCTAAAGCGCGGAAGCTACGCCTCCTGCATATTCCTGTTGCTCCTGCTTCTCTCTCTATAAGATAGGGTTCAGGGTTTAGGGCTTGCCGCCTAGGGCTTGAAGCAAGTGAGTGTATTTCCGCTGCTGCTGCTGCTGCTGTTCTTACTATCTACCGTTTGTGCTCTCAGAGCGAACAGCCCCCAGGCTGCACCTGCTCTTGCTGCAGCAGCGCTGCAGCAGCAGCAGCAACAGCGGCAGCAGCAGCAACACAGCGACAATTATGGTGTGCAGGAAATGGCGATGTCGGCTGCTGCCTTTTTCAGTTTGTCAACCGCCCTGCAGCGGACAGCGTCTCAAAACCAGCAGCAGCAGCAACAGCAGCAAAAGCAGCAGGACAGCGTTGCTGCTGCGCTGCAGCGCGTTGCTCTTTCCGAGCAGACCCTTGCTGATTCACTGCTGCTGCTGCGGGCAGCAGCAGCAGCAAACCCTAAGGACACGGGGGCCCTGCTGGCGCTAGCTGCCGTTGCTCTTTACTACAGAGATTATAAGGAGGCAGAGGAGAGGTTCCACCAGCTGCTGCAGCTCCTGCAGCTCCTGCCCTCCCACAGCATCAAACCGGACGCGCCAGCAACAGCAGCAGCAGCAGTAGATCAAAGACCCTTGCTGCTGAGGCTTCCGCATTTGCTGCCCGCTGCGCTGCTGTGCGGTGAAGACGCAGCAGCCCTATTTTCTTGCTTTGCAGAGGCGCAGCAAGCAGGCCCGTTGCTTGTTTGGCCAGCAGCAACAGCCGCACGAGCAAAAGGAGCAGCAGAGGAGAATGAACAGCGACAGCAAATCCGGCGAGCTGCTCTCATTGCAGGGCCGCTTGAGTAAGTTCGTATTGCTGCGGCAGCGCAGCGCAGCATCGCGCGGCGCTCTTGCCACTGCTGTCACTGCAGCAGCTGCAGCTGTTTCTGGCCCGGTCGCTCCTGTTGCTGCTGCTGCTGCTGCAGCAAAGCGATAGCTTGGATATTGTGTCCTGACCGTTTGCTGCAGGTGGTTCTGCTGCAAGAGCCTCGGCCGCCTAGCCCTAGCTTTCGCACCTCCTGCTGCAGCACGGCTCCCGCTGCAGCGGGCGCTTGCAGCAGCTTCTACAGCAGCAGCCACGGAAGCAGCAGACGACTCCCTATGGGCGTTGTATGCGCATATGCTGCTGAAGCAGCGGCAGGAGGCTGCTGCAGCTCTGGCGCTGCAGCTGGCCCTGGCAGCAGCTGCCCGCCGCTGCAGCAGCATGAGCAGCAGCCTATTGCAGGACGAAACGGAGGCGCTGGGCAAGCTTCTGCGCACCACGGCAGATCCGAACGACGCAGTTGTTGCTGCGCTCTCTGCTGCAGCAGAACGGGCAGCAGCAAGACCCGCTGCGGCTGCGCCAAGCAGCAAAGGAGCAGCAGCAGCCAGTGCCGCTGCTGCAGCGTCTATACAGTGCAAGGCGCTTACCAGCTCAGCCCTCAACTTAGTTATTTCCATCCCGTACTCCCAGCTGCAGAGAAGAGCTCGGAGCCTTGCTGCAGCTTCTGCCGCTGTTTCTGCTGCTGGCAGCTGCAGCAGCGACGAGTCCTCTGTTGCTCGCTGGCAGCACATGCAGGCGGAGGTATTCTCTTGCCATGCGCAGCGGTTGCTGCAGCAGTGCAGCGCAGCAGCAGAAGCAGCGGCAACAGAGCCGCAGCTGCTGCGCAAGCAGCAGGCCTTTACCTTGCTGGCGGACGCAGAAAGAGTCTGCGACGCTCTGCTGCTGCAGCGCCACCTGCCCGCCCGCATTCTTGCTGCTGCTTTGTCTGCCAAGGCTCTTGTCTACCTGCTCAGCAGCAGCAGCAGCAGCACAAGGTGCAGGAACCAAGAAGCACTTAAAGCAGCAAGAGCAGCAGTCAGGCTGACAACAGACATGCAGAGCCAGACGAGGCTGGGCCTGGTGCTGCTGTGCTGCTGCTGCGACGCAGAAGCAATAGCTGTGCTACTTGCTGCGCTGCAGCGGCGGCGAGCTGCCTACACTCCAGAGCTCATAGGTTGTGCTGCTTCCTACCTTGCTGTTGCTGCTGCCAGGGAGAGACACCGGCTGCTGCTGCTGCTGCAGCAGACGCACCACCGAAGCAACGCCAGAGCAGCAGCGCTGCAGCAGCAACTGCAGCAGTTGCAGCGGCTGGTCTCCGTGTCCCTGCATGCTGCTGTATTGCACCTGCCGCAGTTGCGCATTTTGCTGCGGAATGCGCTCAGCTGCAGCAGCAGCGGCAGCAGCAACAGCAGCAGTAATAGCAGCATGAGGGGAACCGTGCTTTTAGGTCTGGGGTACCTGCCGTTAGTTGAACCCCTTGCTTCCGAGCTGTGGACGCTGCTGCAGCAGCTCGCCGGCAGCGGCAGCAGCAACAGCAGCAGCAGCAGCAACAGCAGCACCACCACTTGCAGCAGTTCCTATGGGCGCGGAGAATTAGAGGGTCGGTCTGCGAAGGAGCTTTTGGCTTTCATTTCGTCTATTGGGAATGAGGTTAAGTCAGCATGGGCTTCTGCAGCAGCAGCCGGAGCAGCAGCGCCATCAGCTGCTGCTCCTCCTGCTGCTTCAGCGACTGCTGCTGCTGAAGCAGCAAGTTTTGCCGCTGCTGCGACAGGCCAGAGGGTGCTGCGCGTGCCGCAGAAACATGTAGCAGCAGCAGCCGCATACTTTGCTGCATCCCCAAAACCAGTGCAGCAGCAGCTGCTGCAGCAACAAGAGCTACAGCAGCAGGAGCTACGGCAGCAGCAGCGGCTGCTTCTACAGGAGTCTGCAGGAGCAGGGCAGCAGCGAGTGAAATCTCCCCCGCGTCTGCTGCCAGTCCTGAACTCGCAGGTGTCTTCTGTTTGTGAGCCGCCTCCAGCTCCACCTACCAAAGCAGCAGCAGCAGCACCCGCTGCTGCTACTCAGCAGTCAGCGGCGGCGGCAGCAGCAGCGAAAGCAGATGCAGCAGCGCAGCGGCTTCTTCAGGACAAATTGTTTGAGCGTTTCTCGGCGCAGCTACCAGAGCAGCAGCACCGGCGCTCCTTGCCCGAGGCAACGCCTGGGGCAGATGCAGCAACAGCAGCAGCAGTAGCAGCAGCAAGAGCTGCTGCCGCTGCTGCTGCTGCGGCTGCGGAGCGCCACCGACGCGGCAACGAAGCCAATGCATGCAGCTCTGGCCCGCTAACTTTCCAGGGCATTGAGTCTAGCTCTTCAGCGCGGACGCAGCAGCAGCAGCAGCAGCCGCAGCAGCAGCAGCAGCAGCAGCAGCGAGTGCAGCAGCAACAGCAGATGCAGGTCCCTACGCAACTGCAGCAGCAGGCAAACCAAGCACATCTGCAGCTGCAGCAGCAACGAATGCTGGTGCAGCGCCAGCAGGACGTACTGCAGCTGCAGGAGCGGCAGGAGCCACCTCAACAGCATCGACAGTCCAGAGAGAGACAAAGTGCACAAGAAGGCGTAAAGACTCCGTTGACACCGCAGCTAGGAGCACCAGAAGCAGCAGCAACAGCTTCTGCTGCTGCTCCTCGTCCTGGTTTTGGTGCATCTGGGTGCGTGCCCGCAGCAGGCGGCCAGCAGCCTGCAGCTGCTGATGCATTGGGCTTCTCATCCTCAAGACCACTGGCAGCTGCTGCAACGCTGACAGCAGCGGCAGCAGCAGCAGCTCCACCCGCGGCTGGGAGACTAATGGAAGCTCCGACAGACCCTCTGCCCCGACAACGGGTTTCTGCAGTGCGGCAGCAGCATCAGCAACAGCAGCAACAGCGGCAGCAGCATCAGCAGATTTGGCGCCACTGGGACGCGTCCTTAGTGTCTTGTAGCTTCGCCACAACTAGCAGCGGGAGTAGCAGCAGCAGCAGTAATGCTCCAAGCTTTTTGCTGCATGACGTGGCAATCCCACAAGGGCAAAGCGCGCAGCTGCAGCAACTGCAGCAACTGCACCAAGCTCCTTCCAGCCAGCAGCAACTATACCAGCAGCAGCAGCAGCAAGCTCCGCTGCAGAAACTGCAGCCTGCGCAACTGCAGCAGCAGCAACAACAGCAGCAACAGCAACAGCAGCAGCAGCAGCAACAGCAGCTGCTTACTGGATGTCTGGCTCAGCCCATGACAGCCAACTCGTCTAAGCAACATTGGCCACAGCAGCAAATCCTGCAGCCGAAGCACGTGGTGCAGCAGCAGCATCTACATACTGCTGTCGTGCAAAACCCAGGGACACGCGCGGCGCCAGGGACAGCGCGGAACCAGCAGCAGCAGCAGCTGCTGCTGCTGCCTCCTCAACATCAGCAGCAGCCGCAGCAGCAGCAACTGCTGCTCCACCAACACCAACAGACACATGCTAACCGCGTCACACGCCTGGTGAAGCCACCGTCGAGCGCAGCATTGCGGCACCGTCTGCAGCAACAGCAGCTTTTGCTGCAGCAGCAGCAACTGCACCACCAGCTGCAGCAGCAACTGCAGCAGCAACAGCACATGCAGCAGCTACTGCACGAGCAGCAACAGCGCCACCATGTCATGTACCAGCCGACAGTGGTGCGGCCAGTGGGTACCCTCGTTCCGGTTGCAGCAGCAGGTCCAACAGCAGCAGCGGCAGCAGCAATGCGCTATGCTGCTGTGGGCGCGCCTCTACGGGCTTTCCCCGCGGCTGGAGAGAAGGTCTCTGCTGCGGGGCTTATTCCTGTTGTTGCCCCAGCATCTTCCACAGCAGCAACTGCAGCAGCAGCAGCAACATCAGTTGCAACAGCAGAAAGAGAAAAAGCTGTTTTGCGGCGACTCTTGAGAGGCCTGCAGCAGCTGCCGCCGCTCTTCCCCCAAAATATGTTGCGGTGTCTGTACGAAATTGGGAGAGGCGGGTTTTCAAGAGTGTGGGTAGCTGAGCTGCTGGTGCACCAGCGGCCTGCTGCTGCTGCTGCTGCTCCCGTTGCAACCGCTGTTGCAGCTCGCTGGCTGCCTGTGGCGCTGAAATGCATGCGCGTCTCTTGCTCGCAGCAGCAAGAAGCAGCAGCAGCAGGAGGAAGTGCGGCGGAGGCAGAAGAGGAGACAGTTTCGCTGCAGGAGCTACAACAGGAAGTACAGCAGTTGCAGGGCCTGGAACACCCGTGCATAGTAAAATTACTTGGGGTGTCCCTGCTCTTCAGCAGCAGCCACAGGCTCCAAGTGCAGAAAACGCAGCAGCAGCCACAGCAGCAGCAGCAGCAGCACTATCGAGTGGCTCTTGTCATGGAGCTCTGCAGTGGTACGCCTAACTGTCAGCGCGCTAAGGCCTTCCGATTCCTGGGCTTATAAGGCCGATGCACCTATTCGTTACTAAATTTAAAGGGGCATCGTTGAATGTAGCTAAGTGCAGCCCTTCTGTTGTTGCTCTGCTGGTTTTGCTGTTGCTCCTGCTGGTCTCCGGGAACCCTGGGGTGCTTAATAGTTTGCTGGAGCATCCTTTTGGTTTTTTTATTTATTTATGGAGAGAAAAGGGCAAACAGGGAAGCAGATAGCTGCGCTGCTGCTGCTGCTACTTTGTGCAGGAGGCAGTCTGTATTCGCTGCTGCACGAGCGGCGCGCTGCTTTGAAGGCTTCCGAGAGGCTCTCAATTGCTCTTCACTTTGTTGCAGCTCTGCATTACCTGCATTCCAGGCCCACTCCAATAGTCCACAGAGACATAAAGTCCCTTAACATCGTTGTAAGCGTACAGAAATAGCGCTGCAGCCCCTGCTGCTTCGCCCATTGCTGCGGCAGCTGTTGCAATTGCTGCAGCCACTGCTGCAGCCACCGCTGGAGCAGCTGCTGTAGTAATCGCTGCAGCAACTGCTATAGAAGCTACCCTGGCAACTTCAGCAGCAGATGGGGTGGGGACTCATGAAGAGGGAGGGGGAGGAAAAAGAGCAAGTAGAGGCGAAGGGAAAGACACGTGGGGGAAGGCAGAAAGCTAGGAGGCAGTTAAATAATGAGAGAGAATTTAATATTAAAACACAGTTAGAAAATGCGAATAAGACAGGTGGACTCTGTTTGCACAATAGTAGCAGTGCTGGGGCCGCGTGCGCACTGCAGAGACGAAGACAGGGCTGCTGCAAAGGTGCTGCAGCGTTGTTGCAAAGCTGCTGTAGCGTTGCTGAAAATCTGCTGCAGCGCTGCTGCAGAGGTCCTGCAGGGTTGCTGCAGCAGCGGTTTGCTGCTGTGCATTTGCTGCTTTTCTCATGTTTTTTTCTTCTGTCTCTGGTTGCGATTGCGTGAAGCTGGACGGGGCGGGGAACGCGAAGCTGTGCGACTTTGGCTTGGCAGCAGAAGCAGATGTGCATTTGCCTTCTACGGGCTGCAGCAGCCGCAGCTTGACGGCTTCAATGCGGCTAATTCGCCCCAAGGAGCCTCTCCAGCCAGCCGGTTCTCCGCGCTACATGCCCCCGGAGCTGGCTGCTGGAGGTAATTCGTTTCGCTGCGCAATCTGCAGCAGCTACCTGCAGCTAGCTACAACCTAGGCAGCTAGCTTGTTCGCCCTCCGGACGAGGGATTTCGCTATCTGAAGGGCCATGCTCACGGGGGTCTACAAGCATGCGGCTCTCGCTGGCTGGTTGGCGAACTGGCGAGCAGGCTAGCGGGCTCTGCAGCTAGCTGGGTTGCGCGCGAGGCCGCTGCTCGAGCCAGCTGGCTGGGTAGCGGTAGCTAGCCAGCTGACTGGGTGACCCTGGCTAGCCAACTAGCTGGTGCAGCGTTCAGTAGGTTGGGTTTTTTACGATCATTCTGCTGCTTTGCATGCAGTGGCAACTCAGCTGGATCCGTCGCTTGACATTTGGTCTGCTGCCTGCGTCTTGCTGGAGCTCTTTGGAGGTCCTTTGCCATATCACCGCTGCCAGACTTTTGAAGAAATACAGAAGCAGCACGCGGATAGAATGGTGGGTCTTCGCTGCTGTGGTTTGCAGTTTGTCACTCGCTGCCTCAGCGAAAAGCACAAGTATTTCAAAATCGCCAGCAGCAGCAGTTGCAGCTAGAATGAAACCCCCTTCACGGCCGCTGGCGCCCGTGGAGGCCGTAGACAACTGCTGCAGAGTAGCCGGGTGCAGGGATCGGCGGGTAACAGCAGGCATAAAGGAAAGCCACCGAGGCAGCCAGCAGCGGAATGTCTTGGGCATTTTTCTGAAATTCGCAGCAGCAAAAGGAAGCCAGAAAGTGCTGGTGCTGCAGCTGTGCTTTGCCTGCTGTTTTGCAGCTACCAGTCTTTCCCCCCGATCTCCCAGCACCCCTGGAGCAGCTGCTCCGCGCCTGCCTCGCCTTCGAGCCCCGGCAGAGGCCCTCCGCTGGGCAGGTGATGCAGCACTTTAAAGTCTTACGATACGGGCCCCTTTGCTTTATTTGCTGCGCCTGTGCAGTCAAGAGTGTCAACTGTACATAAGTCCCTTTGCAGCTTCTGCAGTTTCGTGGCCTATCCATGCAGATGTGCATTTAATTCAATGTTTTTAGTTGCGTTAATTGTCTTTGGAAAGGTATATTCAAGTGAGCTGACGTATGTACGTGCTTTTGTTCACGTAATAGTGCAGTTCACATTCTCTTCCTGCCCAGTTTCTTCAGTACAGTCATCTCAGATGATTGTACTGAAGGAACTGGGCAGGGACAGTTGGTACAGATCGGCGATCTCAGCGTGCCTTACTGTTTCAGTGGCACGCGCACTTAGATATAAGTATATGAATTTATATTTAAGTGAGCATATGCTTTAATGCTTGCTACAGTTGATTCACATAAGAATGCAGCGAATTCTGTGGGATTTGAAGTGGTTGTTTGCGCAGAACGGGGTGAAGGGGAAGTCACTGTGCACTATTGCTGTGGGTTTGTGAAGTGCAGATGCTGGAGCAACTGCGTTCTTTGAGAGCTTAGCCGCTGGCTCTCTCTTTACTGCTGTAATCCCCCGGCTCAGCGCCAGCGTTCACAAACGGGGTGTGTTTGCAACTAGGGTACACTTTGGCGTTCTCAGGCGTAATTGTTTACAAATGTGTGCGCCCTAAAACACCAGCATCTGAGTATAGATATATCTAATATATTTTTTGGAATGCTTGCGGTTTCATTTGTATGTGGGATGGACAGAGGGATGCGGCTCGCCTGCTACTTGCTGGGTATTGATCACCGCATATGTGCAGGTGCACATGACGGCACTTAAGTTAGCTCGAGCCTACACATATGAAACGCATGCAGAGATCTTTGTCAAGGTTGCAAAGAGTCTTCGCTACCAAAAGATAGGCCAGCGAACCGGCTCGCGAGAGTTCTGTCGGTCTATGCCTTAGTCGCGGGGCTATTTCTAGTTTAAAGCGCCGCTTGCCTTCTTTTCTCGCTGCTTCTTGGCTCTTTGTCTTTTTGCACTTGCAAAATGCCTATTGAGGCTCTATTGACCACGTGAATATGCTAGATATGCAACGCATGCACAGGTGGGAGACTGATTTTTTTTCCCGAGCTCTTTCGAAGGCGTTTTGCTACGTACCCAAGGTGGTTGCAGGAGATTAAAGAGTAGTGAACGGACTAGGAAAGCTAAACAATATAGTAGATAGGCTCTGAAGTAGACTTATGCAGATTACGGCGCAGTAGGTGATTAAAGGTGGCTTAGGACCCGGCAGGTGGGATCCCAGGTATTGGGACAAAGCTCAATGAGAGTGGGAACCCAGTACTGAAACTACACTCAGCGAGAGGGTGTGGGGAGGTCGTGCATATAGAAGCAGTTCCGTCTACTACTGAAGCACTTTAGGGGTAGAGGCAGCAGAAGGAAAAGGCATCTGCAGCAGAATACGGGACGCGGTGGCATGACCTGGTTATAGTTAGTCCGTGCAATGAAGGTTGGCACCTACAGACTGTCGTGCCGAATCATTCTCCTACCGCACCTAACGATTACGTTATATATTCAACTTGTGGAAAACCCAATTTCTCAGTGGCTTGCTGACAGCATCAGCAGGACCTGGCTCATCCTTTACCTACACATGTATCTCATTCAAGCGAAGAAATTCGTCCACTCTTTCGATAGGGAAATACCTTTTAATTGTTCCTTCACATTCAATAATGAGCTCTTCTCTTTAAAGTGCGATTCAAGCAAGCAGCAACACCCAGCAAATGCGTTCGCCGCTTAAGAAGACTGGCTGCTTCGGTTGAATGCTAACGAGCAGCATGGCTAGCCTCCGTCTGTGAAGTAAGCATGATTTCATTTTTCTTAAAAGTGTTAATGGCATTTTTATGCTTTTAATTTCAATTAATGATGCAATAAAAGCAGAAGACAGTTCCAGCGCAGCAGCGTTCGCGCATAACGAACCCGATGGGCTCCGAAGGTCACCTCTGCTGCGAAGACATTTGCCTGCAACCTGGTTTCCAAATGGGGGGAGTATTTGACAGTTACAAAGCATATGCAATAAACATAATAAGGGAAGAAATCTCACAGTGCATATGGTGTGTCAAAGGCCGAATTGGGGAAGCCCCGGGTGCGTCCTGCGCAGCGCATCTGAGACTATTCGTGTCTGCGCGGTTGTTAAGTCCCAAGTACCCTGATGATTAAGACACAGGGTTTCGGGTTCACGCTTAACACAAAAGCTCTATAAATGTTCACAAGGTGGCATTTGGTGGAAATGCCTGCATGAGCCTCCCCTTCCCCCCCTTGCCGTTGGGCCGCTGAGGCCAACTCCATTGTCTTGCGTTTCATTGCCTCTTCCGGCAGCCCCACGCGGCAGCAGCACAAGACCGCCTCTCGCCAAAGTTAGCTCAAGGCTTTTCTTCCGTAGAAAGACTTTTCTAATTTCTTGTTGTCATCCACTTAATACCGTTCGGTGTCTACACACAGGAGGCCGAAGCAGGCACGCAAAACGGCTAGCTAGCCATTTAGGAGCCAGTTTCAGCCCCAGCCAGCAAAAATGAGTAGACCAATGCTGCCCCCCGGAACGGGGAAGGAAGCGTTTGAGATGGGACCTATCCTAGGCACTGGTAAGCTACACTTCACGGAAGGCTTTGAGCACGTTGCTAGGCAGGGGTCATTGCTATCTATAAGACTGTAAAATGGATCCAATTGAGGCATGGAGCTTCCTTTTCAGTCGCGTGAGCAATACAACCGAGAAAAATTATATAATCATGTAAAATTAGTGAGTGAGTGTCAAGGGATCCCCTGGTCAACCCCTGGTTTCTGCCAACAGCAGTTTAGGCCAAACTCTGTTGGCTTCCTTCTTGTCCGTAACATTAGACTCAGAAACTTGATTATATGAAAGTCAATTTGTGCCATCTCGTGAGCGCGTTTAGCTTTATCCTCATTTATCGCGAGCATTCGTGCCACACGGAAATTTCTGCAGCTCAGCAACAGCCTCGCTAAGCTCGGCGCTGTGTCGAATGAAAAGTAATATTACTGTGGCTTAGTTTGTGCTGCGTTAAAAGATGAATATGAACTTATGTCTAGGTTAGCTGAAGCACGCCGAATCCCTTGCAGAGGCCTCAATGGTAACTTTTACCTGAATAGGTGTGGGTTCACGGGAGCCAATGAGGGCCAGATAGAGGCTTTGGTAGAAATAGGGGGTTTATTCATAGTAAAAGCCTGGCATTTTATCTGTTCAGTACATTAAATTGTGTGGGAGTCGACATTTGGTACTATTATTTACATTATTTTTGTACTTTGGTTTACGGCCACCCTGGGCAAAGCCACCTACGTTTATTCTATGAACAACGAAACTTCAAGCGCATCTGCTCTTTCCGTAGCACCCGCACGAAGAGCAGGCTTAGATATGTCTAGTGTTAAACCAAAGCCGGTGATAGGTGCACAAATTTGATCAAAGCGGCCTGTGGGCTCAGGGTCATTTGGGCGCGTTAAATGCGCAAAATACCTCAAATCTCGTGGCATGACACTAGAAGATACAACTCAGGTGCCTCCTCGGGTGGCAATTAAAATTCTGAAGAAGGCCAGCATCATCAAGCTGAAACATGTCGACCATATTCTCAACGAGAAAGCAATCCTCTTGCATTTGGATCATCCGCTAACGGTGGGACAAATGCACAGATATATTGCACGTTCCTAGTTCAGAAAAACGTTTTCAAGTGGTGAATAGTGCTGTAGAAAGGCCCTCAATAGATGTTGAAGGTGGCGGCAAAGTGCAGACTTGTCTTCGCATTGTGGGAAAAGATGCATACACAACTATTTCTTCACACGCTGCAGGTTCGTTGTTTTGGCACGTTTCAAGATCCCCGTTACCTCTACTTGGTGATGGAGCTGGTTCAAGGTAGTCCTTTGCTCTGAAGCTCACGTGCCGCTTGATTTTATGCAGGGTGGTGGTCCCACCGCGCTACGCACACAACATCGTTGTGTTTTGCTACGATTCTCTGTGTAAAAATAGTCGATCGCTAGCCAATTTATGGCAGTGTGTGATCATAGTACCCAGTATTGCATTTTGCGTGCTATAGGAGGAGAATTTTTTACTCATTTGAGAAAGAACAAACGCTTTGAGAGCGATGACGCAAAGTTTTATGCCTCTATGATCGTCGATATATTCGACTACCTTCACGCGGACAACATTATTTACAGGTGACTACGATGGCCCCACCTTGCCTTTTCTCTGCACCCTGGCGCGTTTGCAGTGGCGCGCTTTTGGGCAAGGAGACAGCAAGCACTGTTCTCTGAGAGACCTGTTGCTCCTCTTCAAAGCCCTTGTGCAGGGACTTGAAGCCAGAAAACATGCTGCTGGATCGTGACGGTTACGTCAAGCTCACAGATTTTGGCTTCGCCAAGGTTGTGGAGTTCCGTACAGACACCCTTTGTGGCACTCCTGAGTACATCGCTCCCGAAGTCCTTCTAAACAAAGGTGGCTCACGCTGTGTTTGCCCCGCTTTTACAGTTTTCCTAATCATTGAGCCGCAGAGCCCAATCATGACAGGCTACTCCAAACTGACAGATTAAAAGTGAGTTCTGCCGCTTGCACAGGTCACGGAAAGCCTGTTGATTGGTGGACTCTTGGGATTTTGATTTACGAAATGATTGTTGGCTATCCACCATTTCTTGACGATGATCCTCTCGGGATTTATCAGAAAATCTTGAGCGGCAAATACGTCTTCCCCAAGTTTTTTGACAAGTGAGCACTGCCGGGCTGATAGCAATCTTTGTTGCAGCTCTGCTTGAAATCTGGAGGCTTTATAGTGTCATTGTGTTTAGCTTTCATTTTTGCTTTTCATTGCAAGAGCGTCGTTTTCCACAGGGATGCAAAACTTCTTGTACGGAAGCTGCTACAGGCTGATCTCAGCAAGCGCTGGGGGAACTTAAAAGATGGCGTGAAAGACATCAAAGAGTGCAAATGGTTTTCGACAATTGACTTCGCCGACATCCGCGCAAAAAGAATTCCAGCAAAATTCAAACCAGTCATCAAGGTGAGCCTTCCCGGCTGAAGTCGCACTGGCTCCCTTCGAACACGGAATTACTGCAGAGAGTTTGCCAAGATATATTCCGCTAAGTTCTAAGCACAGTTCCGCCACAAAGTTTCTTGGATTGCTTGAAACCAAAACAACAAAAGGCGGCGGCACCGCAACTTCGGTCCATTTGCTACATGCAGAGTGCATGCGGAGATGGAGTTCCATGATCGCGCTGTTCCGTTGTGTTACTAGTGACACTGGATCATATGCAAAGTTACATCACAGTGCACTGTATGCTCTCAGGGTGTCGACGACCTTTCGAACTTCGAGTCATATCCCGAGGAAAAGGAAGATTCCCCCGCCATTGACCCTAACAAAGACCCGTTCAAATCTTGGTGAAAAGATCCGACTTGTTTTTCGGAATTCGACGCACAGAGAAGTACCACGATGCCGCAAGCCTGCCTATGAATTCTTCTAACTCACACAG